TGACCTGGGTCCCATCCTTGACCTCCATTCTGGTCCCATCCTTGACCCCATCCCTGTCCTTGACCTGGGTCCCATCCTCAACCTCATCCCTGTCCTTGATCTGGGTCCCGTCCTTGACCCTGTCCTTGACCTGGGTCCATCCTTGACCTCCATCCTGGTCCCATCCTCAACCTGGGTCCCCTCCTTGACCCTGTCCCTGTCCTTGACCTGGTCCCATCCTTGACCTCCATTCTGGTCCCCTCCTTGACCCCATCCCTGTCCTTGACCTGGTCCCATCCTTAACCTCCATCCTGGTCCCATCCTCAACCTCATCCCTGTCCTTGACCTGGGTCCATCCTTGACCTGGGTCCCGTCCTTGACCTCCATCCTGGTCCCGTCTTTGACCCCATCCCTGTCCTTGACCTGGGTCCCATCCTCAACCTCATCCCTGTCCTTGACCTGGGTCCATCCTTGACCTCCATCCTGGTCCCATCCTCAACCCGGGTCCCCTCCTTGACCCCGTCCCTGCTCCCATCCTCAATCCTGGTCCCATCCTTGACCTTGCCCCCATCCGTATTCCATCTCCCCTCCAGGTCTCCAAGCAGGAGGAATTCTTCAACCTCTCCCACTGCCAACTGGTGACCCTCATCAGCCGGGACGAGCTGAACGTGCGCTGCGAGTCGGAGGTCTTCCACGCCTGCATCAACTGGGTCAAACACGACTGCCCCAACCGCCGCCTCTACGTGCAGGCGCTGCTGCGCGCCGTCCGCTGCCATTCCCTCACCCCCCACTTCCTCCAGATGCAGCTCCAAAAATGCGAAATCCTCCGTTCCGACTCCCGTTCCAAGGATTACCTTGCCCAAATCTTCCAGGATTTGACCCTCCACAAACCCACCCGGGACCTCCCTTCCCGCGCCCCCAAAGTGGGGCAGCTCATCTACCCCGCCGGCGGTTATTACCGCCAATCCTTGAGTTTTTTGGAAGCTTACAACCCCCGCGACGGTTCTTGGATCCGTTTGGCCGACCTCCAACTGCCCCGCAGCGGTTTGGGGGGTTGCGTGGTGGGGGGGCTTTTTTACGCCGTTGGGGGTCGTAACAATTCCCCCGAGGGCAACACGGACTCGGCCGCCATCGATTGCTACAACCCCATGACCAACCGGTGGTCCCCCTGCGCCCCCATGAGCGTCCCCCGCAACCGCATCGGGGTGGGGGTCATCGACGGTCTGATTTACGCCGTGGGGGGGT